CCCCACACGCTTGCGTCAGACGTTATGAAGCCGATATCCATCCATCTTCGAGTAGATATCTATTGGATAACTTATGGAACCAATAAGCTTTAAACAGACGTTGAGAAACCCAACAGTCGCGATTTTGGTAGTTTATGAGACTCATAAGCTTATGTAACCGATATGTTGGAGTTCGGAAACCGGGCATTAATCAAGTAAATGTTTGGAAAACTCGTCACCCTCATCGCTCTGAGGAGTCTTTAATTTTGTTCAAAATTGCGGTTGGCTTTTTCCGTTTTTAGCCCATGAGTTAAAACTTTTTAGCTCAGCTAGCAACAGCTCAAAAGCGCAACTCAACACAGTGTTAACTAGTGTCCATTTGCAACTTTCACTTCTACCATCATTCCATCAATTTTCCATTCAAAAATTGGTCTGCCTGCCTAGAAAACACCTTGCAAAGCTTCAAGTACGGAAAATAAGTTGTATAAATCCAAACCAAAAGATTCTTTTTCCAGCAACAAAGCGTCCACATTTTGGAGAATGGGCTGGAGGCGCTAATAAACCCACCCCCAGCCCTCCACTCCCGAGCCTCTCTTTCCATTACATGGAAAAGGAATAGAGCCCTCCGATGCCGGGGATTTGACCAGAGGGACGAGTCCGTATCGTTTGAATTTTATGCTTATTTCCTTTATTAGATGCACTTTTTCAGGGTGTTTTTGTCCCAGCCAACCCACTCGCTTTCAAGTGGGAGTAAACGTCAACATTTTCGTTGTTTGCTTGTATGCCAATGAACCATTCATCCTTCATGTATCTTAGCGTTTTATCACCGACTGTTTATCAACTCTTTTATTAATTAATTTTGAGTACTTTCGTCCTTGCCAAGACGCCGTTTCTCTGCTCAAGATCCGGCCGGCCGAGTCATTAAAATGAATCTTTCAGCAAAGTGGTGAATTATTAAACTGAAAAGTTTCTCTGTCCCAGTTCCGCTTTCTGGTCTATTGTTTTAATCGTCGGCGCAATTCTTATCGGAAAAGCGCTCCGTGCATCGAGTCGTCTTTAATTTAAATTTTGCCCACACTCACACGTCCACATCCACGATCCATTAAACTTGCGAAAACTTTAAAGTTTTCCCATAAATTTTGCCCTCATATGGCGTCGCTTTATCCTTATTAATATTAATTTCGGCTCTGGAACGCGGTAAGTGGAATTGGGGTCACATATAGGTATAACAAGCAAATGTTGCGAAAAAAACAGTTTTTTTTTCAACAAACCTCTTAACAAAAGAGATAGATTTTCGAAGCCATTCTTTGGAACTAATGAGTTTTTCGGGTTTTTAGGCCGTCGTTCGGTAGAATTTCTTCCTGACGTTTCGTAAGCACGAGTGGCTTGGCATCTTCAGAAGTGGTTTGCTTGTGGAAGCAAGCTTGCGAAACGTCAGGAAGAAATTCTACCGAACGACGGCCTAAAACCCGAAAAACCCATTAGTTTCAAACCTCTTAACGCCGTAAGTTATCATAAACAGTTTTTAATTAAACTTTGCCGACGAGACGATTAATTTACTCACTGGGAATCGGTGGGGCTTTGCTTGTGGATGCAAACCACTTCTGAAGATGCGAGGCACTCGTTCTTGCGAAACGTCAGGAAGAAATTATACCGAACGACGGCCTAAAAACCCATTAGTTTCAAACCTCTTAACGTCTTAAGTTATCATAAACAGTTTTTAATTAAACTTTGCCGCCGTTTTGAAAATGTATTTAAAATCAAAGCAGATCAGATTGAAGAGCGCTTTTTAGAGCAGTAAATAGAGCAAGCTTCATTCTGTTTCGTGAAAGTTTAATTATTCTGCCGGTGCGGATCGAATTTTCAGAATTACTCAAAGTGACACTTAAACAACTTTTGCGATCAATTTACCCGCCGTTTTGAAAAATTATTTGAAATCAAACCAGATCAGATTGCAGGGCGCTTTTTAGAGCAATAAATAGAGCAAGCTTCACCATATGCTTCGTGAAAGTTTAATTATTCTGCCGGTGCGGATCGAATTTTCAGAATTACTCAAAGTGACACTTAAAC